AGTTTTGAAATTTATAAAACAAGATATTCTTTCTGCCTTGACTCGCCATTAATCTCTGCAAAAATGTCGTTTACCAAAAAGTAGGTCCCGACTAGTTTTTCTTCGAACTCTCGCTTGAATTGATTTTTGAGAAATTTCAAAAAATGCCACTTTTCAAATGCCACTTTACAAAAATGTCACACTTTTGAAATCTTTACAAAAATGCCACTTTTTCAAAATTATTTTTTCTTTATATTATTTATGTTTGGGTTAATTATGTTCTATTAGAGTTTAGTTTTGAGTGTTTAGGGGGTTTTAGGTGTCAAAACATTTTTTAGTGTTTAGAATTTTAAAATATATGCTTTATAAATATATAATTAGTGGTATTTTTGTAAATGGACATTTCTAAGTAACATTTTTGTAATTGCCCCTTGATTTTTGCGTTATACGCTGCAGCACATTGTCATGGATAATTGTTGAAGCAACTCCCTCCTATATTGAAACAGAGAAGTTATGTTTGGAGATCTTTTCGTTCTTTGATGCTTGTTCATGAAGGGAACAATGTTGAGTTTGAGAAGAAAGTTTGGGATGATATATTGGGAGCAATAATTTAACTAGATAGGCTCAAATCTCAAAATTTACTATACTCACTATAACGTCGTTGGTTAGAACAAACAAGAAACATTTAATGGAATGTCAACGTAGATATACCATCACCGCAAGTCTCCCACGTGCGATGTCATGCATGCACGGGAATTACCTTCTCTTGCTATTATTATCTCAAATGTCAAATCCTTTTTTCAGTGAGTTATATATACATATATTGGTTGCTTGAGTCAATGTATCAAGGAATTAAACAGATAGAATGCTTGGAGTTAGATAACCCAAATAAATATATTTTCTAAGGTCACATATACAATTGGCCCATTCGCTGCATGTCAAATTTATAACTACCTTGCATGGTTTAAGAAACAAAAATGAAGTATCAAATAATAGTAGTAGATTCATATTAATTGCTAACCAAACTTCTCGTATGTACACAAATATGGACCGTATGATCAGAATTGGAGTTCCCCATAATCATATGGAAGCTTTTAATTTTTCCACAGTTGTTTTTCCTTTGTCAAAAACAAAACCCTTTCTTACGGAACAATCAAACTCAACACGG